CGGTCTGGAGCACCAGGAGGAATCAGCAGAGCAATGAGCGAAATCCTCCTTCATTTACGTGAGCTGAGAGTAACGCCATTAAAAAATGACCACTCTTCCACCCCGAGCCTCACGGCAGCGAAGAAACCCTCGTCATCCAAGGAAACCTGAATTGGAGAGGGGCGTGCAGCTGCTCATGGGAGAAAGGAGAAAGTCTTCCACTTGAGCAATTAACAGCCAGTCTTCCACTTAAGTAATTAACAGCCCAGAAGTATTTAGATATGTGGATGATGACCACGTTGCATTTCCTGGTCACCCATTTGCCATGGGATGTTTCTCGGCCCGGGCGCTGCCCCAGCAAACAGGCGATGTCCCACACCCTGTGCCCATGGACACCTTCATGACGGGGCGCAGCTCCCTGACCCCCCACAGCCCCTCCAGCCCCAGAGGGGGTCTCAGTGTGTCTGGCACCCACAGATGGGAGAAGGCTGCCCTGGGTCTGGGGGTTTCTCTCCTAATTGCATTTTCACCTGTTATTTCTGATGCCGCGGCTACCGCATCTGCACTTGGCTTTGGTGCCGGCTGTTCCCACGGCAACGGAAATGCTCTGGATCTGCCTTGACCCAGTCTAAGGTACTTCATTAGCTTTAATGAGCTGCATATTTAATAGAAGCCTACACCGGATTTCTTAAATATACGTGCTTTAAATTCCATGTTTTTAATTACAACTGACACGGGAACATAAGATACGTAATTATATTTGCATGACTAAGTCGCTGTCTTAAAATATATGCATATACATAAAGCTGTAAAATATAATTATGAATTATCTTTGAGAGAAGTCCAAGGGGAAAAAAAGCAGCATTTCCTGAGCACCCAGGCAGCCCTGGCGGCTGCACAGAGCAGAGCGACCACCTAGGACAGATTCTCTGAGCCCCTCTACTGCAAAGAGCGGCCAAACTCCCCTGCTCCCGGCTCACCTGCACTGGCCCCTGGGCAACCCTGATTTTGGGGTGAGCACACCCTGGCAAACAGCAACAGGGGCCTGGCAATTGGGTTTGTGCGTCCAGGAGCTGTGGCTCCGTGTAAATGCCAGAGTTCCCAGTCCCAGGGAGGTCACCCTTGCGTGATGCATTATAACCAGAAATTAGAGCCCTGACCCGGCATTTAAGTAAGTGCACAGCTGCACTGATTTATGTATATGTATATAATCTTAATGGCAGGAAGAATGATCAGGGACCTGGGGGAGAAAACCTCCAGCAAAATGAGACCGAGAAGTCTGGGACTGCAAGATTAGAGAGACGATTAAAAGGGCAAATAATGAGAGTAGAAAAAACTGAAGAACAAACAGAGAGCTGAGATAAGGATTTCAAGGAACGGAGGCTATGCTTTTCTCAAATGAGCTATAATTTGCTGCCTAATTTATTACCTTCTGACACAAGTGAAGACAAAAGTAAAATACAAAATAGAAATCTTGTAAGAAAATTTTTGAAAAAACCCAATACTTTTCCAGACCCACGGTCCCCCGCAGTCACTCCCAGCATTTCTCCCTCTGGGTTATTTTGTTCTCCAGCCCGAGGGGATGTGGCTGGGACAGCTCCAGTGACCCCCAGCAAAGAGCCCCTTGGGGTTTCACTTCTCCCATATCCCCATTGTTAAACTCCCCATAATTAAGTGGCAGCCCTCAGTGTCTCTTCCTGCAGTCGGTCATTGCTCTGTGACACTGGAGACTGAGGCCAAAACTAGAAAGAAAGGGAGAGAAGGAAGGTCTGGGAACGCTCGAGTGTTTATCTTGTCACAGCACTCGAACACAACTGGCGGCTCCTCCGCGGCTGCTCGCAGGCTCTGTCAGTGTCTGCTCCAGCCACC